ACGTTTTCGTAAAGGTGTCACTCCACCTTCTTCAGTCTTGCTTTTCTTCAAAAATAATTCTGTATCGTTATTAAGATTCTTTTCTTCATGTTGTGTATCGTCTATAGGCTTTACTTGCTTCTCTAGTGACTGAATCTCTGCTTCAAAGCGTGCAAACTCGTCGTCCAGGTCCGGCATTTTTCGGCTCAGTTAACATATCGCTCTTGTTCACTGGATGATAATCGAAATAATATAATTTGCTGAAATTAAATGTAGAATATTGTGTATATACTGTTTTGATTGGGTATTAGTATGTATCCAAGACTTGAGTGGAAGCGACGTGATCGCATTTGTCGCATAATATAGTCAAGTAAAAATGGATGACATGGAGTATGACGATGCCAATCACCGTGACATGGAAGAAGAAGTTCCTGAAGAGGAATTAGAGGAGGAAATACCGACTGAGGATTTGTATGAAGGGGGAGATGATACTGTTGATGAAGATAATAAGCTGCAAATTCTTGATGAATCGCATAAACAGCCTAATGCAAACCGCATCACTACGCGTTACATGACCAAGTACGAACGTGCTCGTGTTCTAGGGACAAGAGCATTACAGATATCAATGAATGCACCAGTTATGGTGGATATTGAAGGCGAGACAGATCCGCTTAAGATTGCAATGAAGGAACTACGTGAACGCAAGATTCCCATTATTATCCGTCGGTACTTGCCTGACAATTCATTTGAAGATTGGAGCATTGATGAGCTTATCATTGAGTAGATAGATAGTGAAGGGAGAAAGAGAAACGACTAGACACTTGATTGATACGTAAAGTGTGCAACAAGCATTGGCCGAAAACTATGTGTGACACTGTATATATATGACAAGACACATTGAAAAAAAAAATATCTAAGGACTACTAGTACTAATGATGAAATAGGTTCTCATCGTGACTTGATAACAAATGCATCGCAGTGTCATCGTAAAGTTGTACAAGCACTGAAGTAAGAAAAGCGATAGAAACATGTACCCAAAACACAAAAAAACGACTTGAACATCAATTTCTAAATTCTGCCTGTAGCCATTTCAACTCCTTCCTACCATTTTATCTTATTTTCTTATCAGCCAATCAAATCGATCGCTCAAAACGTCCTAACCAACGACTTCTCTATCAAGCTACTTCTCTCTAGAGCTTCATATGGTTCATACTACCGATATCATTGAGGTATTTGAGTATTATGGCAGTTTTTCCTTCTTAAGTAACGTCCATTCATAAACATGTTCATTATACAAAACCTCCAATCTCCATTATCTTCTTCTTCACCTCCATCATGACATCTTCCAGTGTCCGCCCATACTTTACTGCCCCATGACCAACATTCTTTTCTATTGCATGACTATGATCCATATTTACTTAAATCCAGATTCTTGTAAGTCTTCACATTAGTTTAACTTCAGTCCCAACAAATTTTCTTAATTCTTTGATTCTTCCAATCAGTCAACAACAAAACTCCAACTCTCACAATTTTTCCGTTTTTGGAACCTCTCTCATGATTTCAAAATTTTCAGACTCTTTCATCACACTAGTAACACCTTCTGATTGTTCATCCGAGAACCATGTTCTGTCTCTCACATACTCGACCCATGTTTCATGGAACTTACCCATCAGGGGATAGTTCTTGAGAGTTGAATAAAAGTGAAACGCCTCTGGAACATTTATGCCATGTGAAACACCTATCGCAATCTCCAACTCGGTCCCCATCTGCAGACATTTATGCCATTTGAAACACCTACTAGCGGAGTCTCCAACTCGTCCCATTTTCTGTCGTTGAATTTTAGAACATGTAGACAAACTTCCACGGTCATTGTCCCTATTTCTCACAACACCTTCATTGCCCAGTTTTTTGATTACCTCTGCCCGTACTTATCCACCTTTTAATTACTCTTTTCCGTTGACAGTTTAACATGATGAAGCCTCAAAAAGTAAGCTCAATCAGAGATAATCTCCTACCCTCAAGTACATACACCTCTCCCCAACATTGATCCTCTCTTGACTTCCTGACCTTTTGAGAGTATTAACAACTATCCTCTCTTCTTCGCCCCTTCTTGCCATCTCGTAAGACCTCTGGTTTGGTTCGTTTTATCACTATTCTTCTTTAATTCGATCTCGACTTTTACACTATCTCACTGCAAATTGAACAAGCACAACAAGAAAAACAAGCAAATTACACCATGTCTGTTTCTCCTTTCGTATTTACTCCTCGTTCTGACACAAATGTAATTAACTCGTTTACTTCGTGTCTTCCCAAAGTTTCAGCCGAATTTTCATCCTCTTATTTTATAAACTTGTTCTTTCTTCCCATTCTCACAAACATCTCGAATGTTTGTACTAATCTTTCTTTGTTTTATGGTATCATTTTCGTACCCAGTCTAACTTGGCAGCCGGCTTAAACTCTTCGCATGTCTTGACTGCTTTGATTCCTACTGATACTATTCCGGATACTATGGACAGACAAGACTCAGTAAAGCATAACAAGATCAGCGGCAACACTTGTTTCTGATCTCGAAACAGACCTTGCATTTGCTTCGATATGCTTGGAATCTGGCAGCTGTCAAGCACCACCCCAAATGTGCAAATCCACGGAGGTCTTTACATTCTTACTATTGAGTGACTCCTGTTCAGCTTCTAACAAGTGTCTGAGAAGAAAGCAGACCAGGCTTGTTTAGTGCAACAGCAGACCAGTCTTGTTGCATCCATGTCTTGAATCCACAAGGATTTGTATTCAGCACGTTGGCAAATGAAGCTGTAGGGTAGCGTCTTCGTATGTTATCTCTACTGGCTGCTGTCAATGTCTTGATCTCAACCACCATGTGTTTGACTTGATTTGAATGAAGTTGAATGTTCTGGTTTTGATCCAGTACTGACTGACACGAACCAAATGCCAATCTTCGTGCTTTGATTCAACAACGACATCATGTATCAACAGTTCCTCGACCTGAACCAATGCCTCAACTACCAGAATTAATGCAAAAGCATCAGATATATATCTTGCTCACCTGCCTCAACTTACACCATGTAAGAACTCTTTCGTATTCAAATGTACAACTCAACCATGTCGATTGCCGTTCATGAAATTCATAGTGCTGAAACGTCAAGTCAAACCTAAAGCTCGTTCAGAAACACGCATTCGTTTTCTTGCACTTCAACGTGTCAACTAAACGTGAATGTTGTGTGTATTTTTCTGCCAACAATCCATTGCATTGCATGATCGGACGACAGTTTACCATATGAGTGTGTATTGTGTATGTTCTTATCCTATCTATCCTAAACCAACTACTTTATCATAGCATCTCCTTCCTTTCTCACCATTATTTCAAATCGGTAGTAGTAGTGCTTACATTAGTATTCTTTGAAATGCACCTTTGATAAAAATGTGTGTACAGGTTCTTTAGCACTTTGTCGGCAAAATACCCTGGGGCCTTTACTTCAACTCTTATTTGACGTTTTTATTATATTAATTTCTATAAGGGAGTCGTTCTACCATCACATCTCGTTCAACAAAGTTCATCTTGAGTTTTACCTTCATCGAACGAGCAGCTCTTAACAGTACGACAGCTTTATATTCTGACGTGCCCTTATCTTTCCAGAAATCTTTCTGAGGATTGATCATCTCTTTCAGTTTTTTCGTGGTTACCATTTTATCCATGAACACCGAAATCGCGTTCTCCTCGATAGCGGTCACCAATTTCTCAGCTGCCTTTTGTGTTGCTTTGTTGCGATTTTCCAAGTGGGTTTTTCAAAAAAATGGAAGCAGGTACATCCTTGAGTACGCTACGAGCTTTTCTGTACCATCAAGATAACTCTCGACTCCCATTTTTCCTCGAAGTGTCTTCCAATTCCAGTTACCAAAGTTCGGTTCAATACCTCAGACCATCTTGTCTTTTCGTGCCATCTTACTGAGATCAGCAGAAGTTAAAAAAATTTCCCTGACCAACTTTTCCCTGACTTAAAAGTTGTTGAAACTGCGGCTTCTCCCGGAGGTTTTGTAAACTTGGAAACTTTCTTCTGTATTCAGCTCATCATCTTCTCTTCCTCTGTTAATTGTGAGTTGTCAGGGGGAATACGAGCGTTCTTGCTGGGGGCTATCTCATTCTCATCGGTGGCTGCAGTTAACATATTGGCTTGCTTTGATCCTAAAACTGTGCCACAGCTCGCGGCGACAAGCATGAAAATCAGGCGCATTGTTGATTTTTTGTGTCGGAAGAGTTTATACGTACTCAGCGTTTCGAGAGCAAAGTGTGAAAAGAGCTGTGCTACATATTTTTATCGTTAACATGTATAATGTCTTACTAAAGCTCCTTGGGATAGCCAACAAGCTTGGCCTTGTGATAATAAGAAAGATTGGAATTACATGGATGAGCCGCTAGCGCCACGTTTTATACAATAAACAAGAGCGTATTATTTGTCTCAGTTACCTAACACGATCACTTCGTACCATTTGGTTTACTATATGCGAGAAGTACAAGCACAGGTGACGATTACACAGCAACAGTGAAGATATTTTGTCGGTGACACAGCCGAGATGTTTGAGAAATGCGAAAAGCTTTCAAAACGTAAGAATCATAATACATGGTGGTCCAGCGGCAGAATGGCCAAAGGATGAAAGCTTGAGTTTGAAAAAGAAAACAATTGAATGATGTTTTTTATTTAAAAGCTTAATGTACATGTTAGCAACTCTCGAAGCACTTCAAAAGTGATTCCGAGCCCATTTACTCCCCATTGTGCCTTTATCCACAAAATGTCATGTCTCTGCATGTTGCAAAAAGAGCCCAAGCCCCCACTTTTTAAAAACACTTACAAGACTCCATCAAAACTTTCCTCCAATCAAAATATGTTTTCGTTGAAAGTGTGACTTAATTCATCCAATCATACTTGTTTCTCACTCGGGTCCACACATTCAAGCAGTGTCTGCTGTCAATCACCTTGTTAGGAATTTACTGTATTGTAAAAGCTATTATGGACGCTGTTATCGCCGCGGCTAAACCAACGACGGCTCCCACGTTATTCCGTCGTAATCGAATCCGTGTTAAAGAGCTATTGAAAAATGGAATGAAGCTTGAAGGAAATGCGCTTACGGTGAAAGGCTGGGCCAAGACTCTGCGAGTGGCTGGCGCTGGCGCCTTTGCGTTTTTGGAGCTAAACGATGGCTCGTGTTTCACTGGCGTACAGTGCGTTATCAACAAGGAGGAGACAGAAGGATTTGCTGATGCAATTGCTTCAGGTGGCGTTGGTGCTAGTTATAGTGTAGAGGGTATCGTTGTCAAGTCGCCAGCTAAGGGCCAGGAAATTGAGCTTAAGGCTGCTAAGGTCACAGTGTATGGTGGCATCCCGGATAGTGCTACGTACCCTATGAGCAAGAAACGTCATACTTTGGAACATTTGCGTGCCCACGCACACTTACGTCCACGCTCTAATATTCACGGCGCTGCAATGCGCGTACGCAACGCCATGGCCTTTGCCACCCACGAGTTTTTCAATCACCGTGGCTTCCTGTACATTCACACTCCTATTATTACGGAGTCAGACTGTGAAGGAGCTGGAGAGATGTTTAGCGTGACCACGTTGCTCAGTCAGCATCCTGACGGCAAGCTGCCACTCACTAAGGAGAACAAGGTCGATTACGCTAAGGACTTTTTTGACCGCCCCTCGTACCTCAGTGTATCTGGTCAGCTCAACGTCGAGACCCACTGTTGTGCCCTCTCAGACGTGTACACGTTCGGTCCTACATTCCGTGCTGAGAACTCGAATACGTCTCGTCATCTTGCTGAGTTCTGGATGATCGAGCCCGAAATTGCCTTTGCAGACCTGAAGGATGACATTGACCTGGCTGAGGACTATCTGAAACACTGCGTACAGTACGCTCTGGATCACTGCCTGGAGGATCTGGAGTTTTTCAACAAGAATGTGGAGAAGGGCTTGCTTGAGCGTCTGGGAGCTACCATGAAATCGCCGTTTGTGCGCATCTCGTATACGGATGCCGTGGAATTGCTACTAAAGTCGGAGCACGTGAAGAAGGGAAAGTTTTCTGTCAAGCCTGTGTGGGGTACAGATTTTGGTTCAGAGCATGAACGATACTTGACCGAAGTAGTGTATAAGAAGCCGGTGGTGATTTATGATTACCCAAAGGAATTTAAGAGCTTTTATATGCGTCTAAATGATGATGGCAAGACCGTTGCTGCTGCTGATGTGTTGGTACCCAACGTGGGTGAAATTATTGGCGGATCAGCGCGCGAGGAACGTCTGGACGTATTGGAGACTCGCATTAGAGAGTCTGGTGCGAACCCGGAAGATTACAAGTGGTACTTGGAGCTCCGCAAATACGGTTCAGTCCCTCACGCCGGTTTTGGTCTTGGCTTTGAGCGTCTCATTCGTTACGTGACTGGTATTGAGAACATTCGTGACGTGATTCCATTCCCGCGTTGGCCAGGAAACGCCTCTTTTTAAGAGATTGCTGGGATATAAATACCTTAAACAGCGCAGACGAGAAGGATGAGATTATTGGCTGAACTATATGCAACATGAAGGCATGCAGGTTGAATCTAGTGATAACTCCACGCCTGTGTGCCTGTTTGATTGCGCCATCTGAAGCGCCATCTAAAAAGATGCTTAAAAATGCTTTCGAACCCATTGCTCGCTTTATCATTTATTTCCTGTATACTTTTCGTTAAGTACGATCCATAATACCCATCAATAATAGGGGAATTTGAAGAAAAGAAGCAAATAGCGTAGCAATGACGCACGATCTGTCGTCTCGCATTGAGTATTCGGAGAAATATGTGGATGATACACACGAATACCGGTACATTGCTTTCTATCCTATGCTGTATTACACTACGATGTTTTATGTCCTAAACAATGTCACGCTCTCTCAACTATTTCAACTATGCGTGATTATCTCTATAGACACGTGATCTTGCCCAAGGAAATGCAACGCCAATTACCCGATCGCTTGTTGACAGAAACGGAATGGCGACAATTGGGTGTCCAACAAAGTCGTGGCTGGGTGCACTATGCCATTCATAAGTACGAATGCAGCTTTTGCTTCAATGAGACGAGTATTGTGTTAAGTATTAAGGTTAATGAATGGTATTGACGGATCTTGTTCCTTGTTTTTTTTATTTTGCTGCTGGATTGTTGCAGACCAGAGCCACACATTTTATTGTTTCGACGTCCCCTTGGTACAGACCCTTCAACTGGTCGCGTAGATCTGGAAATGGAAAAGCAAGCAAAGGAGAAATATGCACAGGAGTTTAACTAACTGACATGAAGTAATAGCTACTGCTGCTACTTGCAGTCAGTGTCATGCTGAGATTTTGGACGGAATTTTACAGCTTTTTTATCCGCGTTAACGTACGTTCAGCTTCGGTCAGAGTGTGAGTTAGAGCAATAAACCAAATAAGAACACACACATGTGATCAAATTAACTTGCTTCTGCCGCTAATTTAGCTTAATCTACTGTCGCAGAGCGATATGATTGGCAGCAACGATGTGTGTTGAAGTTTTACAGGTTGCATTGCAAACGTCTGTTTGTAACATGGAAGAAAAACATATAGCACGTCATCATATGCTTTATGTTTAATATTTACGTTGAGCTCGTTTTCAAGCCTTGATACAACAAATTACATTGTGTATTGCCTAACAGAAGGCATGCTTTTCAACTAGAGCAAATTGTACCCACATCTTAGGATAATTATTCCTATTTGACTTTAAATATGAATGTATATTAGTAAGATGTGGGTACAATTTACTCTATTTTTTTAAAAAATAATAACATCTTAATTTAAATTTTGTAGTGTACTTTGTGACAATGCTCCGTCACGTTCCTTGCTTTAATTTTCATAGACACAAAGTCTGTTGAACCAAAACTGGACGCATTTGCTACAGAAAACACACAAGATATTGTTTTGTAATTTTGCTAACTTTATTCGACTATTATAATAATATTCAAAAATCATCGTCTCTGCCATGAAAAATTTGGGCAGCTATGTTTTTGCTCTTTAAAATGCGCTTACACTACCTACGCACCATCTGCTATGATTTCCACCGTGTAGTTGACAGCCTTATGTATTAATTCATTGTTGAAGCTTATTTGTGTAAATTTACACATTTGCAATGTTCTTACACGTCAATATATACGTTTTGACGTGTTTGCCGTGACGCCTTGTCTATGCACTGTAACGACAAAATAAGTATAATCATTACAGTACGCAAACCGGCGGGATTTGACTTGGCTACATTTTATAAAGGGCAGTTTGAGTTTGGTCATTTTCGTTTTACCTCGCTGCCGTCCAGTACTTTGTCATTCATTTTGATTTTGTATATATTCTTAGCACGATTTTATCATGCAATTCAAAAAGCAGAACAAGGACCAAGTATTGGCCACTAGTGCGCTTAAGGATGCAATGGGTGCTGAAATGAAGAATCGCACTGTACCCGTGTACGTCAAGATGATGGCTGGTATGGCCGGTGGCGTGGCTGAGGCTTGTATCTTACAGCCGTTGGATGTGACGAAAACGAGAATGCAATTAGATCGTTTGGGACAATATAACGGTATGATGCATTGCGGCAAGACTATATACAAGACGGAAGGCGGTCTTGCGCTTTATAAGGGTCTCTCACCCTTTGTGACGAATATGGTGCTTAAGTACGCGCTGCGCTTTGGCTCATTTGCGTGGTTTAAGGAGCAAATTGCTGGTGGAAAGGACAAGCCTATTACGCCAACTATTAATTTTACCGCTGGTTTATTGGCTGGTTGTATTGAGTCGATCTTTATCGTGACACCCTTTGAGGTCATCAAAACTCGCATGCAGAAGGAGGTTGGTGTTGGCCGCTTTAGTGGACCTGTTGACTGCACGCGCCACATCGTGCGAAACGAGGGCATCCGTGCACTTTGGAAAGGTAATGTTCCTACGATGGCGCGACAAGGTAGTAATCAGGCCTTTAACTTCATGGCCTTTGCGTGGCTAAACCATAACGTGTGGGATAAGCAGGATGGCGACGGCAAGACGCTGCCTACGTATGCCACGTTCATCAACGGTCTCATTGCTGGTTCGCTTGGCCCCATGCTAAACACGCCCATGGACGTACTGAAGACGCGACTTATGGCCCAGGAGACCGTGGCTGGCCAGGAGCTCAAGTACAAGGGTTTTTTTGATGCTTTGAAAGTCATATCTCGAGAAGAAGGGATTAGTGCCCTGTGGAAGGGTTTGCTGCCGCGTCTTACGAGGATGGCACCCGGCCAGGCCATAACGTGGTCGGTCGTCATGCGTGTAACTTCCATCTTTGAAAATCAGGGCCTGGATATTGCCGAGAATAAGATTAAACTTTAGAACAACAATGCCGACAAGGCGAGAACGTTGGACGGCGTCGTGAATGATGGTAATCATCGAACACGTAATAGTCGTGTGATTAAAGAGAGTTACTGCGATTCATGTTACAGTTATATATATACATTACTTCGTTTTGTCTTCATAAACGCTGTCAATGGTTTCGGTTCTTTTTTTCATGAACTGCGCTGATGACGTCGTGCACGTGTGTTTAGACACTGCTGCAGTTCAAGTTACAATGTTGCTGATAACACAAGCACTATTCGTGCAATACTCAAAACTAGTCAATGTTGCTCTTAAAACGAAATACCGCAACATGGTCAATATGGTGTCCTTTATTTGTAAACTTGATTCAAAACTGGATTCTTTTTTTTCTATTGACGTGCACATTTATCTACAGTCCATTTTCTACCATATTACAATCTCGTCTTGGTCTCAATGACTAGCACGATTTAAATGTCCACTACCATATGATAATCGCCAAGCGGGTGGAAAATCCTCTCGAATTTTAATCTCAATTTCATCTTCAGATAGACCCATAGCTCGGTATTTAGCAATTGCATTCAAAAGCTTGTCCAGATGACGACTTGTACTTGAAAGACGTGGTGGGAATCCAAAGCTGTCTCCATTTAAAAAAAGTGAATTGCGGTCTCGTTGATCACCCTCACTTCGAGCATGGCTTTGTATAAGTGGTGGTGTTAGATCACCTATCATACCATCTGGCCTTGCCATCTCGTTAGCAATATTCTCGTCGTCATCACTTTCTTCATCGCTATCATACTCATCATCATACTCGTCATAGTAGTCGCTACCTAATGAATACATCGACCCGTCAATCGGTGTCTGCTGCTGCTGAATACTTCCACTCCTTGATACTGTGTGACTGTTGCGACTACTTGCACGACTCCGAGCGCCTCGTGAACGCATGGATGCGCGCGTCATACCCAAACTCAAAGTGCCAGTACCAGTTGCAGCCTTTGATCCTCCTGCAAGTCGATGCCACGGAGCTCCGTGTTTGCAGCACTCACACACTCCTCCCGTATTATCAAGTCCATCGGCCAGCTTCTTCATCTTCTTGTAGTTAGAACATCCGCATGGCCCTTTATCTGTATCTCTGCCAAAAAGGCAAGTTCCGCGTCGTCCATAACCTGCTCGAATTCGTTGCGTTCTTCTCTCCATCTCTTCCCACAACAATGTTCTTGCCGGTACTGGCTTCATCGGTACCAAACCTGCTGCTCTCTTAGCTGCATACTCCTTGGCAATTTCAAGTAAAATCTTTTCGGCTTCATGGATACGTCTAGTCTGGTCTGTTGTATGTTCACGATTCTGTTTACGATTGTAGCAATCTCTTACGCTTCTTGACTGCTCATCGTCTTCTTCTTTAGTCGAATCTAATGGCAATGACAATTTCATGTCGTTCCCTGCTTTGTCACTAAAACCTGAGCCTCGAGGTAATTGTGAGTCAGTCGTAGAGATTGCAGTACCGCAGTCACTTGTTAGCCCTTCACTCTGTGAACGAGAACGACGCTTTTGGTTTTGATGATGCGATTTCTGCAGCAATGAAGACGAGGGTGACACCAAGTGACGAAATGAACCCGATCGACGCCTAACTTTCAAAAATCTGCCAGAAATGGACACACGCTGTTCGAATGAGACTGCTAACTGGTTGCCCATGGACGCGGTGGATAAGTGCGTACTTGGTCGTAAACTCAAAAGTGTTCGGTTCTGTGTCGGTGGTGACTGCGTGTGAGACTGTCGGTCTCCTTCGTCCGAAACGGGCGATGAAAGGCGAAGCAGACGAAGCACCTCTTGTTTCGAGTTCAGTTTTGGGGTATTCCACAAAAAATGAAGGAAAAATCAACTGGAATGACACCTGGTTTTACTGACATATATGATACTGTAAAACGTGTGATTACATAAATCAGCGATTACAAAACCATGGGTTTAATGAGTTGATTGATACAGACGTCAAATTCTTCGAAAATAGAGCCTCACGCAATTGGACGACGTCTGGATAGACCGAATTCGGCTTCATATTGTTTGCCACTGAACGGATGGATTGAAACAAAATGGTTACGAAAGACATGCAAGAGGCCTTAGTTGTCCACAAATTACTAGTGAAAGTTTCTGTATCGTATAAGTTTTTATCGATACAACTAATCTACACAAAGAGCTCGAGAAAAATGCATCAAGTTGATTGAGTTTAACAAGTCCGCCATGATACTTTAATAACCTTCAATATGAATTGGGATGGAGTATTGCAACACTAGAGCGATTTGCTTCGATTAATCGTAATAAGGAATGACTTTTTGTTATGAATAAAGCCACCCAATAGTTCACCACCGAGATATAAAAGTGTAGGTCTCTATTTGTATTGGATCAGGAATGCAGCTTAAGTCTTCTTTCAGCTGTCCATTTAGCTTCCATCACTGTCAACTCAACTCGCCCGATCTCACCAAACGATAGCAAACGCTTGGAAGCACATAAAGCAGCATTGAAACAATCGACGGAAGAAACGGAAGTGCTGACGACTGTGGCTTGTGACAGGCATAGATAGCGCCTGTCCACCCTTTGTAGATGAAACTATAGTCGAAAGATCGCAACATGGTCTAGTTGCAGCGAGCACATAATCTTATGGCACCTCCCGTGCGACGTTCTGAAGTTGTATGGCGTGCTTACAGTCGGACTTATACAAGGAATAATTACTAACAGACCCAGCGTCCGTGGATTCATCTCAACTTTGCATAATCTCGTTTCTTACGCAGTGTATCGCTTGCGGTTCATAAACTGGAATAGTCAGTCACTTTACTATGAGAGTGGATGCAAGATAAAAAAGTGATCGAGATTCTTGACACCAATTGCTATGTGTGAGTGTGTGTGAGTGTGTGAGTGGAGGGAAATAAAACTCCGTGAATAAGATGGCACACACACTAGGGTCGGACGCAAGTCTCCGTTGCGTTGCAACGGTCCGGTGGTGCCATAACTCAAAATTAAGACGGATAGTAGAATGGAATGTCGTTGGCAAGTGTGGTGTAGCCTTCTATTACTTCAAACCAGTTAGTTCATGGCTGCCCTCCTTGCTAGAAGTGTCCGGTTCACTGACACGAGACACCTCATCGTTGTCGCCACGTTTTTCTACAATGGCGACAGCTTGGCTTTCGGTAACACCTCCAATGCTACTTACAGTTTGCTTTCCCTTTAGCTGTGTTTGCAGCGCCAGCTTTCGTGCGGCTCGCAACACTGCGTTCTCCTCGTCCTCTTGCTCGTCTTGCTCAGCTTGTTCGGCACTTGCGCTCTTGGGCAAAAAAGGCTCACCAGGACAAAGTACCTCGAAGATGGCACGGGCGTTGGCATTTGCACTCTCCAGGTGGATCTCTAGAGGTCTGGCAGCATTGCCACACGATTTCTGTTGGATGGGATCCAAATTACAGTCCGAGTCGAAGGGGGGCGTTTCGCAAACCCACACGTTTGCGGGAAGGTCTATGTTCTTTGTGTGGGCACTGCTATTGGAATCGTCGCTGGAAACAATATGATCCATTGTAAAAATGGCTTGCCATGCAATCCGGTTGCTCCAATTTGGCTTGTATGAAGTATCGACGCTCGCTGCTGATGTCTGAGCTATATTAGTGGCTGCTTCTGTCTCCGTAATATCATCGCTGGTGGCCTGAGGAAAAGTCATCTTGGCGTCTGCTTTGTTCTGCTTCTGATGCAGCTCTGTCTCCGAACTCAGAATAAGTCTACGGATAACGGATTGTAAAAGCTCTCGCTGTTTCTTCATTTGGTTCAACCATTCAGCTGGCAATGGCATCGATATTTGCACGAGAAAGTACCCTCTCGGACATGCATACGCCCCAGCATCAAGCTGCACAACTTGAATAGCAAACGGGTTGCAGAATTCGCTATCCTCGGGTGGAATAATGAGCACAATGCGGTTCATACCATCGCGTAGAGATGTGTTCAGCACAAACGCACCTCGTAATATCTGACCGTGCACGCGTGGCAATGTTTCACCGTCGGTGAGGCGAAGACAACCAGCGTAGCTACCGTTGGTCACGACGTGCTTCGTCCGCAGCACACTGCCATCGCTGCAGTGCACGCCGCTGACTACATTCGTCCCAGCATTCAGCACGAATCCATCAACTGGAGCACAAAGAACGTAGGTACCACCGTACACAGCACAAAGCCGACAGAAGCTCTGCACAAGCTCGCTAATGCCATACAGTGGTGCCAAGAAGGCGGTACCTGTGAAGCGTCCTATTGACGCCACATAGCGATAGACTGCAGCAAGTCCGTCACGAGCCGAGATCTGGTTCTTGGTGGCAGGAAAAGTTGCGAGCCCGACGCAGTATACGACCACCATTTGTAATTTAGTGGAAAGCTTAAAGTGTTTTTCTAGTAGCTCCTGAAACGGACGTTCGACGTATGCCGCGATCATTGTATCTCCATCCACCTGATTGATCTTGTTTTGTGGCCGCTTCAGCGCACGTCCAAGCGCTAACATCCGCTCGTTCTTCGTCTTTACGTCCTCGTGTAAAATATGCGTCTCCCCGTAATCCGCTACAAACTGCAAAAATTTCATCAATTGCCGCTTCTCCACCGTATTTAGCAATTTGCTCTGGAATACATCTTTCTTGGAGCAAGGAACTTCCCAAACCGTATCCAACTTGAGATCCTTTTCAAGCTGTTGAGTTCCAGACACTGATGGTTGAAAATGCACATAAGTGCGCTCAATAGCTGCAAATTCTAGGTATCTCCCCACACCCGACGCAATTAAAGTTTCTACAAGCTGCTCTGACGATAGCATGAGCCGTGGATTTACGTCAATATTAAAACACGACGACTGCCGTAGTAATTCTTCTTTCGTCGTCTCGTTCGCAAAACGCTCGTCCAGTAAATGACACGTAAATGAGCTTTTCATTAGCAGTATCCGATGTTTTTCCTTGTCAATTGTAAATACATTGTCCGTTGTACAATGAACTTGATCACTCTCATTACTAAAGTTGTGACAAGTAATAACTTTATTATTTGTCCATCGAAGAAATTGACTCAATGTAAATGATGCGTAATTGCTGCCATAGTAATCATTCTGCAGCACAGTAAAATAAAATAGAAAATGTTAGCATCATAAAAGTAATCATTTATTTTTACTAGAATAGAATAAACCTGATCGAGATGCAATACTTTCTTGCCAATTCGAGCTAATGCTCTATATCAAATAATTTTAATATAAATATCAAGTTAGTCAAAGTACTGTGGTTTTATAATAATTATCGCTACAACATGAAGTAAAAATAAGAAAAAAAACGAGTGATATAGTATTCTCAGGGAAATAAACGCACCCTGCCAGGATTGATTCCACGATACCAGTACCTATAAGAACAATATCATACTCTGTTTCCTTTAATAACGCATCCATTTGAATATTTATTTAATCTGCGCAAGCATCAAAATATAAGTAAGATGTTACAGGTTTTAGGATGGGTTTTATTTTAACTTAAGTCATAATGTTTTTAAGAAGGTGTTAGGAACCTATCTTAGATAATATTTATAATCAATTGGAAGCCATCTCGCCTTACAGATTTACTTAAAATATGATTTACTATAGTCTTGTTTTGATGAAACGATACTTGTCACGGTCAAAGTAATCCTGAAGTACAAGACATGGAAAAGTCGAATAGCACCGAGTTCTATCACTGATTGCATACAAACACACAGCAAAAAGACTACAACAACACTGCAAAAGGCTAAATCTGGCTCCCGGCAGATACCGAGCATCATAAAACGCTGAAGAGTGTTTCATTTAGACGACACCTAGGCAAAGCGCAAATTCAGTATTTTCTTAAAGGTCTCGAAGGTACCTGATAACAATCATTTGGCTACAATAACCTTTTGACAGAACGTTCACTTGTCATTATCCCCTAAGAAAAATGACCGGCTATTTGTACACTTACTGTAGTAGACGAAATAATGGAAAGGCGAACTGAATTATTGTAGTGTCGACAGAGAAAAACTGCCTTTGATTATTTTTAAAGGACTGGCTTTCTTACTATTTTTTCAAGTTGATAATTATGTTCCACGCCGATACTAAACCAAAGTAACTTCTCTTACCCCTATATATATATATAGATAAAACAGAATGTTTTGTATCACTTTACCTAACTAATACTTTGTCTATCAGGAATATCACTTTAGAAGAATATTATGCTCAAGACATGTGAGTAATACTTCGACGCTACAGTCAGTCGTCAGATAGTTGAGCAAATCCAAGCTGTCTACAAGAGGAGATCTTAAAACTCATTGACTTCAATCCAACGATTTTGTTGAAAAACACGGACAGCTTCTTGTCTCAGTAAACAAGTGGAATCAAGACCATACGAAAAGTCCCACGCAACTATATCATTACTATTTTTCTTTAGGACGCCATAAGCAGACGGAAAACCGCAACAATGCGTCTCGATTTGATTCTCTTCATGGCAGCTACCACACAATCTCGCTGTGTCGAGACACTGTCAACTCGGCCAACATCAGTATTTGGGAAACCGACAAAGTCTCATGAACATGCTTTTCTTGCCCAACGGTCTTTACGAGACGGCACGGAGGCGGATGCAGAGGATAGAATGAACAATGCATTCCTTAAGCGTATCTCTGGATTTTTAGGCATCAGTAAATCGGATGATGAAGTACCTTTGTTAAGTGCTTCCAGACTTGAGGAAGAAGCTTTGGCAAAAACTAACGATTTGGTTTCCAACTATGATCCGAAGCGCGGACAGAGTTTTATGAACGACTATAAGAAGAAAATGAAAAGCAAGGGTGCGTCAGCTGCGATTAAAAAAATGGCAAAAGCTTATTTGGAAAAGGGCAATAATTTTAACAGCGTGAGCGATCTAGCTGTTATCAGTATGATGGATACTTCTGCGTCCATGGTAGCGAAAAAGGTGTTGAAGGAGGTGACGGCACGTTGGGTTTCAGTTGAAAAGTTGGATGAAATAGGTTTATTTAATGCATTCAAGCTTAACGACTCTGCGAGTATTCGATCCTTTGGGTTAAGGGATACGGACAAAAGTTTGCTCAATCATCCACTGTTCCAAGAATGGCTCGAATTCGTGTTAAACAAGTACAAGCAAAAGCCCGACAAGATTGCTGAAGTAATGGAGGCGTCGTTTCGTAGCATTGATTTTGACGATCTTTGGAAGATGTGGACAGCTTTAAAAAATTCGGGTGAAACGAGTAATAAGGGCGTTTTCCATGGAGCGGAGAGGGCCATTGTCACGCAAATGTCGCTTCAACCTGGAGGTTTGGCACCAAACCGTTGTTTTACCTTTTTGAACCTTGATCAACTAGACAAAAACACCCTGTTACACACCGACCAATTCCATTTTTGGGATGAGTGGTTTAAAAAGACCTCTCCGGATTATTCTGATAAATTGGTGCTAAAGATAATGGTGGAAAATCGCGAGGGAGGGGATTTCTCCGTCGCGGAACTGTTGCAACTGGCTCGAAGAGACGACAACACAAAGGACCGTGCAAGCGCATTGCAAGATTTACAGATGAAGGAGTGGTTGAAAAATCCCCCTGAGTATTTTGATGGAAAAACACCAACTGTGGACAGTGTTTACGATTATTTAAGCCAAAAGAATGATATGATCGCAATACAGATGTTTAATGTGTGGATCAAGTATGCGCAAATAGCAATGAAAGATGACAAGGAAAATGCATTCAAAGCAGCAGTAACTGCTTTATGGAGTAAAATGGGCGAGGAAGGCACTTTTGTTTTTCTAAAAAAAGCTTGCTCCAATGAAGAGAGTGTAAAAAACGCAGACGAGCTATTGAAAGCGGCATTTCTATTGTTGGGAGAGAACAAAATTTTTCCGGGCGACGTTATTTTAAAGCTACCGATCGACACAACAAATCCTAAGTTTTTCGAACGTCGTTGTCTTTCGGAGTTGGTTACTTATTCTTATTCTTTCTTTGCAAACCATGACAACCCTCAAAATCTGGCACAGATTTTAGACGACAAGCTTCACACTGTTGCTGTGACATCGCTGATCAATCATTTGGGAGCGTCACAAACAGCACAAACGTTACGACGTTTACAATTTGAACATTGGCGCAGCTTAGATCCGATGAATATTTTTGGAGCGTTAAAACTCGGCAGTGACTCGCAATTTAAAGTGAAGCTTTCGCCATATGATAGTTTTGTACTTGGCCGAGCTCTCAACAAAAGAAATATAAATGCTGAAAATCTACAGGTTGACTACAGGCTACTGGAGAACGAATTGCTATACGTGTGGATAAACGTTTATGAAAGAATCGTATCAAAATAATTCGAATGGAATTATTGCGGATGTTTTGGCAACGTTTTACGAAGGCAATGGAGGTATAGCTAATTTGATGAGAATGATTGATAGCTACAAGGACCTGAATCTGACGCAAAATCTTGCGGCAGAGTTACGGCGTGAGCTGATTGATCGTTTGATTCGAAAGAAAGAAAATATTCCATCAGTGATGAAAATGTTTGGGCTGAACGATCAAGCTGAGAAGTACGTGATAGAGAACCACCCTGACTTCAGTATTATTGCTGATTTTGTAATTGCGTACGTGGCCAAAGAAAAAACGGGCGAGAAGTTGATGCGGGAGGATGAGGTTGCAGCTTATATCAAGGATTTAAAATAAAAAGACCATTAAGGATTTAGAACGCTTGCAAACGCAAAGTTTGAAGCCTGTTGAGGTAGCGAGGATACCAAATGACCAGGTAGCACTCCAAAAGGATCCCCAATAGGTGTTTGTCAATAAGTTGAAGAAAGGACACATGGTGCGGCAAATTAGTTTGTATCGTTACTACTTGGACGCACACAAGTTTTAGATGTATGCACTTCGCTGCAAGGAAGGTATGACTGGTGAAGCTATGACACGCCTCACCATTGATCACACCATGAGAGCATATACGTTCATAATATATTTTGTTTGTTTCCCTCTATATATCGCAAGACTTACGACGGATGATGTTCTTTGTAGGAATAATTCTTGCAGCTCATTGCAATGCCGGAAATAGTAGGTGTCAAGCTACATCTTCATTATGCAATGGATAGTTCTTGCTAATTTGTCACCTATCTGCACTTTCAGTTCTCCAATACACTTGAGTCAGTGACAACTTTTGTTCAGCGAGTTATGCGCGGGAGCTGATAAAAGGTGTAGCACTTGTAGGTGTTCTGGTAGTCACAGTGATGGTAATGTCTTCACCACAACTTGCAACATAATCTTCAGTGCCAACAACGGCCGTAATGATTTCGAACAACTATTCTTATTGATGATGAGGTGCAAAAGGGTCAAATGTCTATATAACACCGTCTTCAGCAAACGACAACATCATCTCCCATCGCCCGATCATAAATATCGCAATGAGCATCCCGAAGTTAACCTGAAAACTCAGGCTGACAGTTAGAACTGTCGGTAGCAGGCCTGTAGAGCTAGCCGCCGCATGAACACTCGTTGGGCACTCCCACATCAAATCGTCATTCTGTAAATATCGTAGTCACCGCAAGAGCAAGTGATTTACTCGCACTTATCATGAAGCTTTTGACGCAAGGTACTGTCAAGCCGTAATTCTTCCAGCATGAGCGCGGCTTTACATTTCAGTGCCAATAACGGAAAATGGCGGTCATCGGATGACGTTGGAGAACGATGGGTCATTTGGTGAAAACAAGGTCACATTCGTTACTCGTATCCTATCACCGTCGCTGACAATACCGACACAGATTCAGCACCGTCGTCATTCCTGATCTTATCCAGATACGCATCATAGAATTACTGAAGCGTTGACTTTCCGCATTAAGGTACCGAGTTATAAGAACTTGCCATCATAGTCGCCGCTGCCAACCACGATGACAACTTCGATAATGTCTGTTAGTCAGTTTTTACAGGCTCCAAGTATAGCTTTTTGAGCCTTGCTCTCGTCCATCATTCACCATATACTTTTCAAACAGTAAAGCGAGATAATGCTGCGCTTACGGCAGTTCGTGCTGTGCCGCGGGTGACAACCACATCCGCGCTGCAAATGCGCTGACGGGGGGTATCACGCTGCCCGTTGAGTAGGCAATTGCGACGTAAAAATAGCACACAGGATAGTCATGCTCCGTCGATGCAAAAAGTTGTGGAACGCCTAGTCCAAGTCAAACGTCAACAACAGACGCGGTTTCCTGTCTGATAGCAAACTGCTAGCTTATGCTCCGCCTCTGCGTCACCGTGGTGCGAGAAACACGATTTACAGGGAGTTTAATAAAATAAATGGCCACAGCTCTGTTGCTTTTTGAAGCATTTCCATCATCGTGTAAAGATCGACGTTTAGTGGCATCCAAATGCTGAAGCTGTAAAGCACATCAAGACGGAATTTAACCTCAGCATAACGCTTTACGAAGTTTTGTTATGCACTTCTTTGACCAGGGAGTATAACGTGGTTGCCCCAATGCTGCAATAAACCTGAAACAGTGCCTTTTCACTGCCACTACCAGACACTCTTTATCTTGCAAGTACATCTTGAGACACTGAATTCCACGAGAATGCAACTACTTGATCCTTCATCATCGCCACTAGCTCCATCTCAAGTGCTGCATTTTCTGCTTGTTTTTTGCATCGTTTATCTTGTGTTTACTCGCCATCGGTTGCACTTGCACAAAACTTGCCGCTGTAGGTTCATGATTTACTTCAACTTTTGCTCCTTTCTCAAACAAGAGCCTCTTCTCCAATTCATGATCAGAAATTTCTTCTACGATCATAGCTTTCCCAATACGCTACTTACTAGGTAGTGTAGCATCAATAAAAGTTTCAGTCCTTCGTCGTAAACCGTCTTTGCCTCTTCATAGTCTTTCATTCTCATGATTGCCGCCGACAACAGCCTATAGTACCTAACGTTCTCGAATCTGCAAGCGTCCACAGCATTGTCCGCACTTCATGAGTACGCTCATATTCCTTCAGTCGTTAATAACGCATGGCCATGGTCAAACAATACTGCCTGGATCGACGCTTCATCCAGCTATGTGAGATGACCTCGATTCATTCTTGTCTCCGTGTATGCCACGTCCAGCAGCTTCTCCACAGTCGTAGTACCTGGAGGTTTTACGGCGTCAAAATGCATCCAATGTCAGCTTAGACGCTTCCTGCGCACTTACTCGTTATCTTTAAGGCCAAGATCGTGACTTCAGCAGCGCAAAGAATATGCTGCCGTTTTCTCGACTCGCCTACATCTCGTTGTCCTGAAAAGCTACTTCTGTTGAGAGCGCAGCGATCAAATATGACTGAAAACAGCAGCAAGCAGTTAATATGGCAAGCCGGACGCGAATATTCAAGCTTGACCATTTTCAAATGTATCCATACACGTAATATCAACCAAAAGCATGAAACCATTTCCTTAAGCTTGAGCAAAACTTGGATGTTAGTGCGGTGGACACGGCGTCAATTACTTTAACTTGTAAAGACGGCGAGCTCCTTTAGTGTCTATAAGGCTCCATGTTTAGGATCACTCCTCACAATCTGCTGCTCGCCGCGGCAGCTACAAGACAAGTGCTGTATAGGCAGCCAGTAGTATTGTTGTCTTTGTGTGTTGTGGCCGTCGTCGTCACTACAGTGACTAACTTTGCGGCCACATGCAGATGTGTCACGGTGTCGCATGAGCATGCTTGGATTTAAAATTGTGATTGTCAAATTACAAACATCGCCCACAAGCTCGACAGAAACAAAGACGCAGGTCGTAGGAAGTGTGGTCTTGATTTTTCATTTAACAGAACCCTAAGGCCACGCGACGGTGCGGGAATCACCACAGGTATCGTTCCTTTGAACTACGCAGAACCTAATAAGAATCTTAACAAGAAGCATTATTAATCACGTAGCGAAGACACACGCAATCAACACATGAAGAGCACTAACTTCCACCACTGCTCTCGTTACCGAAAGCATCCGTCTATGTATTGGCTCCACAGCACCAGCATTTCCCTTTTCTCTGGGATTGTTCTCTCTAACAATCAATTTTCTCTATGTGCATCGCCTGCTCGCATTAATAGTATACCTTAAAGTCCGGATTGGAGACATGCACGAGTAGGAGCGTATCCGTCGTGATGAAAGGTTTGTCGTTAAACGCTTCTTGCTAAAAGGAGCCTGATGACCCAATTTGGACAAATATCTGGGGTCTCGGCAGCAAATCTACTGCAGCTCCTGCTACAAGCCTCGCAAGAGGTTCATATTGAATGTATCAATAATACGCAGAAATAGGGGTACTAGTTGCGTCTTCGTATGTACTCTACACAATGGCAAGATGCAGTGAGTTGTTGCGGTAGTTTTCACAATTCCTGTGTCTTAGATTGATGGCGTCAAGGTATGCAAACACTTGACACTGTTGTAAGCTCGAAAGGGCTTAATCACGTACATTTCTGCTGTAACTTTTGCAGTTACACAAGTTATCGTCGCAAAGCTCTAAGAGTGTTGACCTCATCTTGTCTAAGCATTTCACGTGTTATAGGAGCTTAAGTGCAAAGTTCTGGTAGCAACTTGAGGTTAATGGGAAAGCGTCAGAGTCTTATGACGACTCTTTAAAAATTGTCTGCCCAAACTCGAGAGATATAGCACCAAAGCGCAGCATCGTGGAAGAGCCTTCAATCCAAACTAGTCGCTAAAAAATTCGCTTGAACGCTACATCAGACATCAGACATTGAACATTGTCATCAACTGTCAAATTCTTTTGGTTTCGTATATGAAACAATAGCGTGGAAGTTGTCAAGCTGAGTAAGTAGCACAAGTTGAAGGTGTTAGGTAGTTCAAGCTGAGATGCCATACAATCCAGAAAAGTTAGAGCATTCTGAGCTCAAGTGTATTGGTGTTAAGTAGAAACGACAGCGATAGCATAATCGATTGCAAGCTTTAAGCTACCACGAATAAGCTCAAATCCTTGCTATCTCGAAGACGCGATGATAGGGATACAACATACAGGGCCTTCGTTTTATCCTTTAGCAAATTTCTATGTATCTTAAGAGCAATATCTAGCAACTATTTGTAAAGATGGCAGGATTTTAAACACGTTACAGCAAGCGAATGAAGACATCAATCAAGTACCTTGTTAATCTGTAGACACAGTCTGCTCACCTGATATAGATTAGATCTAATAGTGGATTGAAACTAATCATGTTTTTAGTCTATAGCTATGATCTTAGGATAAAGTTCACATTTGAAATGAGTCGCGGATAGCGATTTATTTGAAGGCAACAAGGTCGTGGGAAATTGGATGTATCACATGCAGAACTCGCAATAAGTTAAGAAACACCCAGGGCTTAGCATTTTCGTATACATGTGGGTCTTTTTGCTGTGTGTTTGTATGCAATCAGTAGGTCTATAGAACTCGGTGCTATTCGACTTTTCCATGTCTTGTACTTCAGGATTACTTTGACCGTGACAAGTATCGTTTCATCAAAACAAGACTATAGTAAATCATATTTTAAGTAAATCTGTAAGGCGAGATGGCTTCCAATTGATTATAAATATTATCTAAGATAGGTTCCTAACACCTTCTTAATAACATTATGACTTAAGTTAAAATAAAACCCATCCTAAAACCTGTAACATCTTACTTATATTTTGATGCTTGCGCAGATTAAATAAATATTCAAATGGATGCGTTATTAAAGGAAACA